GAAGACTTACTTGCAGGAGCTTCCGTCACATCAGCTCCTCACCGGCTGAACGGGGTGGCCAACGTCACCAAGTTGACTTGTGCGGGCTACATGCTCTCCTTCACAAGAACCTAGAAACTTACCAAAAGGGTAGGGAGCGCTGCTCGGAGCGTGAGGGCATCATCCTCTCCCAGGTTTTTGCGATGTTGGTTTTGCGGAAGGCCATCCTATTCTTCACGCTTCAAGAACCACCTCCCAAGGCCAAATGCTGCGGGCTGTTCCACCTGCTTCCGCAACTCCTAATGCATGACTTTTCTTTGGCACCCCTTTTTCACTATACTCCGGGAAAACTAACATGGACCCCGAGAATGGCACCCTCAAACACTGTTTCCCTCTACAAACCAGTGGTTTTCAGGGTCCATATTAATTAGTTTGTCATCGCCTGCAAAACCTTCGCAACCTTCACCTCTGCCTCGTGCAAGCTCGGGCGGCATCGAATAAAATTCCTTCCGCGCCTTTCTCCTCTAGCCTGGATTTCACCTCAGCTCTCAGCAGTTGGTACTTGTAGCAGGTTTTAGCAGTTCGGGTCATCCCCCATATCCACCTGGTTTGAGGTCATGCCATTTCTGGGAGCATCTCAAGGTACATACAACATCTGTCAAACTAGCAGTTGCACTTTGTTGGAATCTAGAAAAGGGCTCTTGTTTGTCTTGGTTTTTCTCATACCGAAAGCAACTCAAACCACCGTACCATTGTTCATCAGGCAGATCTCATTGCCTTAGTGAGGGCACTTACGCAGCTTGATCATCACCCAAGAACTCTGCATGGAACACTGCAGGGGGTGTTTTGTTCAGATGTCCTGCAAGTAATGGGACAGACCTCCCAACTGCCAAGCCTTCTTGCGCTTCACCATTGTGCCAAGTGTGAAGCAGAGCTTTTGTCCAGATAATTGTGCTTCAAGTGCGAAGAGGGTGGCCCCCTGATCACACAACCACGGTTGGGAGTTGCAACTCCTGTGTGCACTAAGGAAAAGCGTACCATACGAAGTTTGATGTTGTTATATCAGAGTTGCTTACCTTCAAATCCCGAAAAAAAGCGAGCAAAGCTTGAGTCTGCCGTTGCTAGCAGCATGTTGACGTTCACTAGCAAGAACAAACATCAAACATCCACTTCCAAACCTTATTTCCCCAATGCTTGGACTTCAGGACCCGGATTTGTTAAGAACTCTTGCAGTGAGATCGCTTGGGTAGCGAGAAAAGAAGAGGGGAAGACATCGGCCTGGAAACTCCAAAAGATATGCGATTTCAATAAGTCAAGTCAGGCATAGCATAGCTCATAGCTTGCCAATGGAAAAAAAGATGCAACTGCGTAGCCGCCGAATGTTCTTTCTGGTTTTATTTGAGGGGGCAGGGTGTGATGCCGCAGACACATCTGTCATGGTACATCCAATCAGGGTCACCACGCATTCTTGGGGAGGCGTTTGCAGCCAATAGCTAGACTGCTAGACTAGACTCAACCACACACCTCCCAAGACATGTGATAAACTGCTACAGTAGGCTCTAACTGGTCGCTTTCCAGCCGTTTGCGGGAGCGCAGGCCGTGGCGAGCTGAAGTGTTATGACGCACGACATCTCCAGAAGTTGGGTTTCGCCGAATTTGGGCCCAAAAGTGTGTGGCTTGGGGGTGCCCAATGAGGGCTCCATCGTCATCAGGTTCTACCGGGTTTCAGGATGACTGCAAATGCAATCAATATATAAATTGCACCGCTTGCAGCGTGAAAGTGGTACATCAAACTTCCAAAGACTCTCGCCCCCCCCCCTCTACGCCTCAGGATGTTCCCCCTCGACACTTCAGGATGGTGTTCCTTCCATGATGTCATAATTGTTGTCAAAACTTTTTAGGGGGTCCACCAATTTTCACCACCATCAGCCTCAACCAGCCGCCTGCCTACCCGCGGATTGGTTGAATTCTAGGCGATCTTTCGGGGCATCGCCCGGAAAAGGTGAGAGAAGAGCCCGGGCAACACGACATGTGACGTATGGCCTGTCTTTTTTGAGGGTGTTCGTTGAAGGGGCCACTTGAGAAAAGAGTCACCTGGGCAAAATTCTTCAAACCCCGTTCGGATCGTCTTGGATCACGAGGCTGGCTCGTCCGTGGCCGTCTTTTCTGGGCACTGCCTTCGGCAAAATGCACAGCCTTGCACTTCGTGCAAGGATCTTCCACCGGCCTCAAGCTCCACACCCTGGCTCCTTGAGGAACTGATCACCAGCAACGCTGGAGAAGTCGATGTCTACAACTGATGGGTGTGCCCTTAGGGGCTGTAAGAGCCGGTGAACCTGCTTTAAGTCAAAGACGTAGCGACACATGCCCAGGAACATGCCCCTCCATAGCTAAATACTTCAGTTGATTTCGCTCCAGTCATGGAAACATCTCCATTGAGTCTCGCACACCTGGATCCTCACAGCCGTGTGGTTGATGTAGGGCACAAGTGGTCCAGGCGTGCCGGAATGTCCCCAATGCCATGACCACCCGTTTTCACCCTGCAAAGGACCACCGAATGCCATGTCCCTGGGCGAAACGGCCCCAAACTGGGCCGGAACGAAGTTCGAAAATGGAGGGTGAGGAGCTGTCTTGCATGAACGAGGGTCCAGCTACAAATGAAGAGGTCGGGTCACGTTGACATGAAACGGCCCCAAACATGCGCCAGGACCATTGCGGTGCCACACGGGCATATGCCGCCTACCCTTCTGACCTGGCACCACCACATGGAGAGATAGACCATATACCCCACCCTCCATCTGATGAGGCAGTTTCAGGGCTATCGACCCCGTGGAATCACTCAGCGAAAACCACACCTGGGCTGTCCAAGGGATGGGTCGCCTGATAGAAAGGGCCATCTGTCGCCTTTGACCGTTGGCGCTTTCTATCGCCTGTGTCGCCTTTGGTCTTGCAAACATCTTTGTCTCATATACCAAACATACGGGCCTCAAATCCTGAAAGGGTCCTGAAAAGCATACTCACGAGTGGTTTTCTGGCCGCCCCGGTAGAAAAACATCACTGCACCTGCACTGTGCCGGCTCGGTCGCATCCTGTACCATCAAACCGGCCATGCCGAAGAGGACAAGTCATTGCCACTTTCCGGGTGGATATGCACAAGAATATCACAGAATAATATCGTAATATATCATAATGGACTATCGTAGAATTATTCAGCCTCACCCACATGCCACACAACCTTACTTGGAAGTCAAAAGACTTTTTGGGGGTGGGTGGGCGGCTGTAACACTGTAGGACCCGTAGACGCCGAATCTGGGACGCCCCTGCTGCCGCGCAAGGACTGCCGGGTTCGCTCCAGGCTTGCGCTTTCCGCGCTTTCGTCGTTCTCCTCCGGCTTCGCCGGGCGAGAGACGACCTCCTTCAAGACGCGCACCGTCCCTGGCGAGAAAAGAAGAGGCCTGCAAAAAAAGTGGATGCGGAGGCAGCTCTAAGCTAAAGTATTTTTTCATGGCTTCGAAAAAGTATATTTGAAACCATCCCGAACACCTCTCAGTCTTTTCATGAAGCTCCTGGTGTCGTCGATTGGACATCCTGGTGTGGAGTCGTGTGTCCCTCTCTCGCTCTCTCTCTCTCTCTCTCTCTCTCTGTGCAGCTCTGTCCAGCGATAGTCTGGGCACGTTCTGGGCCCGAAAGTGAAAACCTAATCGATGTCCATGTGCACCAACTCGGCATCCTTTGTGATGGGGTCTACACAAGCTACTCTCCGGGTGCTCCAAAGAAATGGCTGCCACCATCTGCGTCTGTCATGTCTTTGAGCGATCCACAGCCAACTCTGTCGGACAACTCAGGGCGTTCGCGAGAGCGGGATCCGCCGAAGGAAATCCCAAGACAAGCGGGATCTGTTACACCGGGTGTTGGAACATTGTTGGAACCGGTCGGGTCTTGCACCTCTGAGTTGCCGCTTCATGGAAGATCCTCCCTGATCCAACATGTTTGCTTATATAAAGCATCTCTCGAGTTGATCCAACATGGGACATTTGGCAAGGCAATGAGAAACCCTTCGTTCGTCCATCCAGTCCAAGACATTTTGAGGGCTCTTGGCCTTTTCCAGCCTTCACCCACCGCTCGCCCATCTCGTCTCTCTGACCCCTCAGCGCCTCTGAATGGATCCTTTTTGGCATCACATTTGGCCTCGGAACATCTGCGGATCTGGGAAGTGCATGGACAAATAAGAAAGGCGATGGCGGCTAGGATCATCTGGCGAATGCAAAAGCAGCCTGACGCGACCTCTCAACCCAAAATAACGGTTTACAGAAAAATGTGCTGAAACCCGTTGAAGCTGCATCTGCAAAAAGGTCCGCAGTCCTCTCATCTTCGTAGTCCACATATGCATAGCCTGCCGCCGAGGGCCAACCCGAAAATCTCAAACCTGACAAGACACAACTCGAAAACATACAGAACACCTTGCAAAACGATCTCCCATTGCCATTGGATGCATTTTTGATGCTTGTGGCAGAATCTGAACCCGAGGACCTCTTGCCAACATCCTCGAGTTGGCAAAAGTACTCTAGACTCTAAACCTTATGGCGTGGGGTGCAAGACCACCCTAACCGTGCTGCGAATTTTGAGCCAAGTTCTTCCAACCGCATTTGCTGCGAGGACCTCCAGGGTGGGTCAAGGCATCTCGCAACAGTCGAGCTGTTTGGGACACCCCCTTCACCGGAGGGGACTCCGAGACTGAGTCTCTCCAATCGGGTCGCAGTGACTACATCAGCATTTGAAGGCGCATGAAGTGGACCCATTAGAAAAATCATGGGAGGTCCCTTGTCCACCTTCCATCTTTGGTGTACGATAAGTTTGCTTTTCAGCTCGTTTGCTCTTTCAAAGGCAGCTTTCCCCATGTTTGGCACCGCGAAAGCACCACGACCAGCGCCCGGCAATCCGGGGAGGCCTAGGCTACGCTGGGTGATTGGGTGCACCTGAGCGCCGTGAAACTGAAGGAAAGCCATGCGAAATGGATCAACAGGCGCATAGCCTGAAGATCTATATATATATATAGTAGCTACTTAAGCTACTGGCAACATGGTACACCCGCCAAATCATCTTGGGAGTGGAAAATGAATGGCCCCTTAGCCTTGGATGACCATTTTCCTCTACAAACTGGTGTTTTTCCACTTCCAGAAGATCCTCGAACAACCAAAAATTCGAGGACCGCTGGTTCTTGAACTTCGAAAACGAACAAGAGACCAACACCTTCACCCCCCCAGTCCACTATCCCCAGACCCGTTCCATCTCCCCATGCACGTTGTCCCCATCCAAGGTTCCGGGCAACCACCTCCACATGTTGAGGAGCTGGGGCTCGTCGCTGGCTCACCAAGGAGAGGATCGCCTCCTGCAGGTGCCACGTGACGCGATCGGGTGCCGCAATCGGGTGCCGCAATCGGGTGCCGCACCCCACGTGAGCCGGACGCCTCGCTCAAAGCCATCCGTACTCTTTCTCTCCCCCTGAGGTTGGAAGCCATCGCTCTTATACTCCCGAAAACTAACATGGATCCTGACAGTCCTGTGGAAGATGGTTTTCCTCTACCAACCAGTGGTTTTGGGATTCCATGTTAATCTTCAGGGGAACTGAGAAGTTCAATCTCCTTCCACCCACTGCAGAGTCTGGGCTGTCTGGGCTCCAAGGGCTCTATTTTTTATACTGTGTGGGAGAGCTTCTCAGATCCTTTGGTCTGTCTTCTGTGCCTTGTCCATCTCTCTTCCATCTCACCGTTTTTTGATGTGTTTTGGATGGGAGTCAGCATCTGCTCCAACCAAAAATCCCGTCCTCCAGCTCATCAGTCCTTAGCCGCCACTTTGGGTCCCCTTCGGCCCCTCAGAGCCCCGAGTCCCCTTTCCGATTGGAGCATGCCCACTGGCCATATATAAAAATGCAACGCTCCTACAGTAATGCAGTTTGCAATCATCGCGAAATTGGGAGGCACTTCATTTTTGAGGATGTATATATATATATATATATACAAGATAAAAAACCATTCTGAAACCATTCTGAAATAGCATCAATAGTCCAGATTGTCGAGCCATCTCTCCGCGCATGGGCTGCGTCGCAAGGGCACATGCTGATCTCTTATGTGAACACAGCTTTGGGTGCAAATCAGCTGCCGTGTGCTGCAAGATCTGGATTATGTTCTTTGACAGTAAGAAGCCAAACTTTGCCTAGCTTAGTCTTGTTGCTGTTGCAACAGAGTTCTATAGCCTATAACCAAGCCAGAAAAATAAGCCTGGCATTTTGGTGAGGAATGTTTGTCTACTATCAGCTGCTCTACTGTACGCACATGGACACATGCACATTTTTCAGCCCGGTCGCCCTAGCCCGAAGTTCCTTGAGGAACTTTGAAAGAGACCACCAGTGAAGGGTGAAACACAACACGAAGCTGTGCAAGAGCTTGGCAACGTGTGCCCTCCCAAAATGCATGTCTCAGCCTATGGCACTGTGGCCTCTGCGGGGCCGGATGTACCAAGAGATGCGACCTGATCCACATGCAAAACATTGAGACTGCCAGAACTAGGAGCTTCCTCCTTTGGACCATCTTTCTGTCTCATCTTTTCCATCTCTGCCTTCGAGAGCTTCTCGCGTCTCACGACTTTGTCGTTCAAATATCCCACCTTCTCAACGTCTCCAGAGGCTCGGAACATGAGTCCTTGCACTCGCACGCCGTCCCGCCACTCGCCTGAGAACTTGTCCCCATCCTTGTAAGTGCAACTTCCAGTCCCAGCCCTCAAACCATGATGAAACTCTCCGACGTAGTCGCTCTCTTCGTCCGCATCGTGCAGCTTTCCAGATCCTTCGGGGATGTCGGCTTTGAAGTCTCCATCATAGCAGCTGCCATTGGGTAATCGATAAGATCCATATCCAGATCTGGCATCGTGCTGCCAGCCACCACTGTACTGCGCACCATCTCCGAAGCTCATCTGACCCTGGCCATGCCGCTGATCCTCGGACCAGTTGCCATTGTAAGCTGAACCATCCGGATACTTCATGAGACCTTGTCCATGCCTCAAGTCGGCCTCCCATCGCCCTTCATACACTGCGCCATCATGATAAGTGAATTTCCCATATCCATGCCGCATGCTCTTCAGCCACTGGCCATCATAGGACTCCTTCTTGGCATAGTAGAAGGTCCCCGTCCCCTGCATCATGCCCTCGTAGAACTCACCCTGGTAGAAGCCGCCATCAACACAATAGTAGGTCCCAGGCCCATGCCGAGCTCCTCGTTTGAACTCACCCTCATACGAGTCGCCATTGGGATATTCCTCGCGGCTGAACATGTTCAAGAGCGCCATGGCAAGCAAACCGCTTAGAGGCCAGTCTTTAGCCTCACGACGGCCGACCAATCTTAAGCCAAAGGCTACCCAAACAGGTGATACACAAGTGATGCATGAATGCACTTCCGGAGAAGCATGGCGTGGCGTGGTCGAGCTATGTTCATGTCTTGCTTGTCAGGATGTAGTTGAATGTACACAGACAGCGGCCCGGCCATGCCCACCAAATCGGACCAATCCGAGGGAAACGGACGGCCACCCGTCCAAGGCACGGAAGGTCCGGTAAGGACTCCAAGCGTACCCTTCCACCTCCGGGGTGGGGGGTCGGCGGCTTAGTCAGGGGTTGCTTGGAGCACTCCACTGACTGCATGCTGAAGCAGGGTCAGGGCACCACCTTTTTTGGTATTCGGGACATGTGAAAATGCAAGTGACGGACATGCCATCCACTTCCGTGATGATCTCAGGGAGAGTAGATTGAAGGTGTTTGAAGAAAACACCTGTGGTGTAAAACCTGATGCGCTTGCCAATGCGCTTGCCACATGACTAGGGTGTGGTGGTAGACTTGTGGCCTTTAAGAGAGAACGGATTCCTTTTTGACTAGAGGTTTGCCTCGTTGGGAAGGCAGGTAGACCAGGACAGGAAAGCCCTCAGGGTGGTGCAGTGACCATTGCACAATAGGATGCAGTGCCAATCGGCCAAAAAGGGGAGGAACTGGCATTAAACCTGGCCAACTCCTCTTTGCGTTATCCACCACACAATCTGTCCAAATCATTGAGAATCCAGAGGTCCAGTCAGCCCATTCCTCTGTAGACTAGACTCTTGAGGTCAAAACATGGATTGTGAAGCCTCTTCATACTCGTCAAGAGTCTGTCTACACCAGCGTTGGATTCCTCCCAAGCCCGTGGCCGAAGCAAGTCGATGGACGCCTCTTGCTTGCCATCCTAGAGCAGGGTGGGAGCTAGTCCTCAGCTTCCAGTTGAACGGATGGGGTCCGCTACTGGTGCTGGCATCGCATATGCCACAAAAGCAAGCATCTGCACCGTAAGTTCGTGAGCGCCGACTAGCTTCTAAACTCAACTTCCACTTTTGTGGAGTCAAGCATTCATACCTTGACCATGACCAATTACCTGCAACAACCTCTGTCAATTCATGTGACCGCAAGCGCCAAAAGGATCTTTCTCCTCAGGCATTCAACCACCACAGTACCCAAAAGCCTCCCAAAGCCTCCTGCCCGACTGCTGTGCTCGACTCTCAGCACCACGCTGATGCGTCTGGTGCTAAGGTCACCAAGGCCAGTGACCCAAACGAACACATGGTGGGAAGCAAGGCATCGAAGCAGGTCTGATCTCCATTGGGAGGCACATTCAAACCTCCAGAAGCTCTGTGAGACCTGTGCAGGACTGACACACCCTCTCCAACCATCGCCCCGATGAACAGCGGCTCCCTCCCTCTGACTCAGCGCTGCCTTCAAAGCAGGAAGGCTCTGGGAAGATTTCAACTTTTGTCCCACCTGCACGAGCTCGAGGGTCCGGCGCTGAGCTCACGCAGGATCAGGCAGGCTCAGGCTTGGGTGCAGCTGAGAATCAGCCAGCTGGCAATGGCCATAAATTGTGCTCTACCGACTTGGATGGACCATTACCATGCACCATGAATTGAATATGAAGTGATATGAATTTTATGTGAGGAATCAGGACCAACGAAGTATTTTGCAGGGCGGAAGTCGCATATTGAGCATTGGGTCCTCCTCACAGCTAACGTCTAGAAGTCTAGACCTCGCAATCTGGGTGAAAGCACCCTCCGCAAACTGTGTGGAACTCTAAAAGGGGCCCAGAACCAGGCCAGCTTCGGGAGTAAAAAGTTTAAAAACAACAACAACAACAACAACAACAACAACAACAAACAACAACAACAACAATCCAGCATAATTCAGCACTTCCCATGAATTTTGCAGGTTCAAAAACCTCCCCACCATAACTCCTACCACTCCCATACCCTTTCCCGGAATCCCGGTCCATCGGCACCTCAAGCCGGTCCATCTGCATCCGGAGCAGCTGCCGCACCTTGGGCGCCTCGCAGCTCCGTGGAAGACACGGTGCGTTACGCGGACCGGGTGCCTCTTCTTCCGGGTGTCAAACGGAAGAGAAGGACGCCACCGAACGGTACTTACGTGCATCGCTACGAACGTAACTTACGTGCCTTACTACGAACGTAAGAGAAGGACGCTACGAACGTAGCAAGAAGGAAACTAGTAGCTTCATGTAGCGAAGCTTGTGACGTTTCGTAGGAAGGCCAGGAGCGCCCCCGTGCGGCGTTTCCTTGCTCCGTTCGTAGCGATGGCCTTTGTTCCTAGTAGCTCCTTGTTACTAGTAGTAATGTGTAGTAGTAATTAGTAATGCCCTTGTTACTTGTTACTAGTAGCGACGCACCTGTTCCTAGTAGCTTCTTGCTACTCATAGGCTTAGGGAGTTTGTTGAATTTGTTGAGGCCCCCCCCAGAGCAACATCAGGAAACAGTGGACACGCTGAGTTTCAAGAAGGAGTCCCAGAAAACCCGCCTCTGGAAGGAGTTCTCTGCTCTGCAAGGCAACTGATGACTACTCAGTTGCGAGACTCTGGGTGAAGGAACCGCAGCCACCGCGATGTATCAACAGGTCTCAACCACCAGCCGTGACTGGTCCCCTGTGATCAGCTCCGGAGCGGACGTGAAGCCCGGTCCGGTGATAGATCGGTCTTCCCCCCGCGCAACTTCCTGGGGCCTAGTTGGCAGTTTCCACGTGTTTCAGTGCGTCAGACACCATTGGCACAATCCATCTCTGGGGAACTGCAAAATGACTGTCATGATGTGTCGCCTCAGCTTGTTTGAATCGGGCTTGGTGCATACAGAGTCTTCTACTTTTGACACAACATTCTTCGCGTCAATCTCCGGCTTACTCAAACGGGTCGGGACTTTAATTGGGATTTGTTCTTTTTGATTGCAGTTCTTAATTTTTTTGTGGTCTGTGTGGTTCAAAATAGGAAAAGCATTAGGAAAAGCATTACAAGTATAAATTTTGTCTAGAAGAGTCATCAAAAGCGAAGAATGCAATAGAAAGCTCATCAAAAGAGAGATGTCAATATAAGTCATACACAAATAGCGATTTTTCCAGAAAAGTTATCAAAAGTAGCGATTGCAATCGGTCAAAACGTTAGATTTTGACTAGTAAAGTCATCAAGAGCAGAGAATTCAGTAGACAATTCATCAACCATGTTTCAGGAGAAAAGTTATCAAAAGTAGGGTTCTAAGAGGAAAGAATCAACAGTAAAGATTTTGACTGGACAATTGCATCAAAAGTAGATATTCTTTGACTAGAAAAGTAATTAAAAGCAGAGAATGTCATAGAGAGTTTAATAGATAACTCATAAAACGTAGAGACTTCGATAGAAGAGGCATCACGGTAGAAATGTCTTCCATTGTTTTGCTGCTGCTGCTCCTGGGTCAAGTGTTTTTTTTGGTATGGACTGGTTTGCCCTAGACAGAGCTGAGCACCATTCTCAAAGTGAGGGCCGCTCTCTAAGAAAAAGAGAGAGAGAGAGAGAGGCAAACGAAAAAAGGTTAATCCCATAAAGAGCGGGAGGGGGCGTTGAAATTAAAAAGAGCGGGGAAGGGCGCGGCGCCCCCCCCGCAATGGACACAGTGTGTTGTGCAGCGCCTCCCCCATCAAAAGAGATAGTTCAATATATTTTTTTTCCAAAAGGTGGTCAAATTTTACTAGAAAACCCGTTGAGATTTCAATATAAATATGATCCGACATTGCCGACATCTATATATCAACAAATTAGTTATCAAAAGTAGTAATGGGTCAAAATGAGAGATTTTGACTAGTAAAGTCATCAAAACCGGCACAAAAGCCAAAAGCCACACAACCCAAAAGCCACACAGAAGCCAAAACCCACAAAAGCCAGAAGCCACAAAAGCCACAGAAGCCAGAAGCCACAAAAGCCACAGAAGCCAGAAGCCACAAAACCCACAGAAGCCAAAAAGCCACCAAAGCCACCTATATAACCACAAAAAAAAATATCCCACTAAAACCTTACTCAAAACAGGAACCTACGTACTCAAAACAAGAAGTCCCTAACGAAAGCACTCTCGACATTCAACTGCCAATCACGATTTTAGCAAATTAAGATATATTAAAACACATTAAAACGGATCCTTAGGACTTCCAGGCATGCATGCCTGCATGCAGACACAAATGCGGGCGCCTTCAGCCCCTCCAAAAATTATCAAAAATTGGACCCCTCTGCCTTGGCCACATCCACTGCTCGAAGCTTCTCGAAGTTGCTCGCCTCTTCTTTGCCACAACAGTCGTCAACGGGCTGCTATCGGTGATACGAGCCACCGAACGCGCCCGGAACGTACAGGAGAAAACGATGCACCATGTTGGATCAAAAAGGATGCCCAAAGTTAGGTGAATCATACATGGTGTATCTATGGCATCTATGGTCTCTTGTCTTGCTCATTGGAAATGATAACAAGCATCTTGCCATCTTGCCCGACCCTTGGTTCTGCGGCGAACCCATGCGTCGTCCCTTGTTTGAAACACGGACATCCTCGGGGTGCCTAGCCGCCTAGCCGCGGAGCCAAACTCTCCACCGACACCCATCTACGGAGTTCACGACTTCAAAAAAATCAACAGGCTACCTACTAGCGATGGCCTCCAACCAACTAGCGATGGCCTCCACCCTACAAGTGATGGCCTCCAACCTTCTAGTCTAGCGATGGCCTCCAACCTTCTAGTCGAGCGATGGCCTCCAACCTTCTAGCGATGGCCTCCACCCTACTAGCGATGGCCTCCAAATGGCATGGGTCACTAACAGTATATGTTGCCCTGAAAATCTGAAAAGAGCCGCTAGGCAACATCTCCACAAATTGCCATTTCTGACTCTGACATGCGATCACCCAAAGCAGTGGTCCGGCATGTCGTTGGAGATGTTTGGCATCCCACTCTTGCCCACCCCGAACCAGCGCCATCGCCGTTTGGCACCTGGACATCTGCATTGAGGCTCAGGAGCAACCTGACAGGAACTGCCGATCAGGGTTGAGCACTGTGACGAAGAACACCCTTGGTTACTCGTTTGCAGCAGCATTATGTAGTCTGCATCTGTCATCTGTCATCTGCATCTGTCATCTGTGTTTTCAACTCATGCTACCAGAATTGTGCTCAGACTGCTCCCACCCAAACAAATCGGCAAAAAAGCTGACGCCTCAATTGTCTAAGCCTCAACGGTGGGTAGTTGTTTGTGGGTGCCCAGTGCTACAAAGTCATTCCACGTGCGCATACCTCCCCGGTGTTCTTTCCAGATCCATTACTCACACGACCAGCCCCACGACCTTCCCACCACCCCCCAAAAAACGGATGGAGACTGGCAGGGATGGCATCCGATCCATCCCGCCCAGGACGTCCCGACCCCTTCAGCTTCTGGTTCCCTCTGAAAGGCCGACCCTTCGGCCCCCCGAACTCCGCGCGTGGAACGCACGCGTGCGCTTTCGGCGCGCTTTCGGCGTTCGAGGTCGAGGTCATCAGGGCTCCCCGGCTCCACGATCATCAGGGCGTTCCGGGAGGGGCTGCTGGCAGCTAACATCAGCACCGTGTTGCCTCCAATGCACCGGTGCTGGTTTGGGAGGCACCCAACCAAACAGCTGAAAAGACTTGCGAACTGCACTCATTCTGCTAGACTCTCTGGAAATAAAGCGTGGACGTGCAGAATGAGTTCCTGAGAGACAAAGATTGCAGTCGACAAAGTGTCGAGTGAATCCCTCCACTGAGCCCTTCTGACGATGGATTATCGCATTGGGCCTATCCTATTACCAGAGCCTCAGTGGATGATGATGTTTAATTAGGTTGCAGGCCTTCCTCTAAAATAGTCATTTGCTTGCTTGCTGACTTACAGGTAATAGGACAGACCCCCGCGAAACTTGAAGCTTCCTTGCCACCATCGAGTAAACCAGAGCCGCCAGAGCGACCAACACACGTGACCAATGATCCACAGGAACAACAATGGACACACATCAAGGTCCATCAAGGTCCATCAAGGTCAAAGGATCCAGAAACCATCTCCTCTCCCACAGATCCCCACCAAAAAGGACTTCTTCAAAAGGAGTGTCCTTCCAGAAGACTCGCCACGGGTGGCTTTCGTCTCAAAAACCTCACAGCTCCGGTTCTTCCTTCCCACCTCTCCACGGCCCCCGCACGCCTTCCTTGTCCACTGGGTCAATCATCGCTTTGCGCTCCAAGAGCACTGAGGCCACTCGGTGGTGTCCAGCCTGCACGGCCAGCGCCAGAGGTGTGCGGCCCTCGTTGTCGAGCTCCCCCAGGACCTGCAAACAAGCCGGAAGCTTCAAGCAAATGGAGTTCCAGGTGGGTGGACCAACAAGCCTTTGGCCGCGGGACGGGCCAAGTCTTGAGGCAACATTGCACCATCAGTTTGGCAACTGCTTCATCAAGGCCACTCAGTTGATCGGTTGCTGGCTTGAGGCACCCTAGAAATTGAGACACCCTGTCCACAGTGCCACCCTGTCCACAGTGCCCGCTAGACCTCTGCGGCATTAGACCTTTCGCTTCGAATTAATGTCCTGGGAGGTCCTCAAGCACATGCAGAGAGTGGATATCGGATCCCTTGGTGTTGCACATTCCAACGCCTTGAGGATTCACCACCGAAATGGAGGTGAATAAAAAATGATTGGAAGCTTGCGCGGTTGTGGAGCTACAGCATTGTTGGTTCCAAAAAAATAACTAAAGTATAACCAATCATGACAACCGTGCTGACGCTGTAGCACTCTGTAGTTCATATTATGGTTTTTATGGATGTTGATGGTTTTTTGATCCGTTGCTCCCATACAATTTCACAACAACAATCCGCCCTGGCACCGCAGGACGACACAGGTTGCACACTGAGAGGTACCAAAAAACATTCTAGTGATCCAGTGATCCACAAATAGATAGAAACGGTTTCCAATACATGTTTAGTGGTGATTTAACTTTTCTATCTGTTTGGGGGTCTGTATATAGTGACCCCCAAATAGATAGAAACAAACCCCCCAACACCTCGAAGCGAGTATCCCCAAGCCACGGGTGTGTAGAATGTCTCACAAGTGCCCGCGCCTTTGGCACACCTGGGCAGGAACACAGGCCCACGCGGTCAACCGTTCGTAGGGGTGTGCCCCCATCGAATCCCCCAAACATGGATTGAGTACGACCCTAAGGGGTGGTTAATAGACACCCCTTAACTGCTAAGGGGCTATAGATAGACACTCCCCAAGGGGGTCCTGGTAGAAACGGTGAGTTCTCAATCATTCTCACGCCAGGCTATCACGATAACAAGTGGATAGCGTTTCTGAATTCAGAGGAGACTTTGAGTTTACTCCTAGCACTGGTCACTAAGTGTTACTAAAATTCCTACGGTATAACATAATACATAACGAGGGCATCCTCAGCCTCATAATTAGATGCCTTGGGCTGTTGACACAAAACCCGACACATCCCCAAATCCCCTCCAACCACTCCTCCGTAGTAACTCGAAGCTTTTTAGTATGTCTCTGAAGCTTCTTAGTACTAAAGCTTTCTAGTAACTAGAAGCCAACCACTGGGAATCGTTTCACTGGGAATCCTTTCCTCCAAACCACTTCTCCAATCACTTCTCCGCCGCCCAGCTGCTCAGATCGAACTTCTTCGGCAGCTTCTTGTACAAGGCCTCGGCCTGCCAGTACCTCGGTCGCTGAAGCGACGGGTCGGTTCGACGGGCGAAGCGAACCAACGAACCGAACCCCCCCGAAGACTGAACACGCGACAGGAGAGGCCAAACGGTGTTCTTTGACCTTCTTGGAGATCAGTCGGAAGAAACCTGGCCCACCTTCGAAGGGCGCCAACCTTTAATGCTTTAGAAGTTCTTGAGGTGGGACCTCTGTTGGGACTAAAATGGATTAAAGGTAAGGTAAGCCTCCTTCTCCGCCTTCTATCTCAGCTGCAGGCGGTTTATCACCTGTCGAGGCACAGTTGCAAGTCTGGCATCTCTTCCTCCTGCTTTTGGCTCCGGAGCCTTTCCCTTTCTTGCCGTGCCTTCTCGTCCTCACCGGAGCCCGTCGACTTCGGACCCGATTCTCGGGCCGATCGCCCCTGGGCTCGGTCACTCGGTCATCCGTCGTCCGGACCCGACACCGAAACGCAGACATCGGGGCCCGAACCAAAGCCACCCGGATTCTTAGGGTAAAGGCGTGTTCAGATGTAAGTGGGTAAAGGCGTTTTCATCATTCGGCTGATGCACCCTGGACCGGTGTGGCTCTGGGATGTCCGAAGCAAGGTACGCCCACTGCATCCGGCGTTCCACCCACGTGGTCAGAAGACACCACGGCGCAACGAGCTTCAAGATAGATCAGAATACAAGGTACGCCAGCGTCCCCCCTGCTCACGCGCTTTCGCGAGAGAAGCAAACATCAGTGCTGCTTGGGTTCAGCAAAAGGCACTGAAGAAGTGACGTCTGGTCTGGCTTTGGCCCGCTGCCCAAGGGTGTCTTTGCCCAAGGGTCGAGTGAAACTAGCTGAGTCTTAGCAAGCGCGTCTCTAACGCACCCTGAACCGTATACATGCACAAATGCACAAACAACAACTCCGACGCGACGTCTCCGGCAACGTTCTCCACCGCGAAAACCGACCCCCCTGTATCAAAAGTCTCTCTGCGTCTCCTCCTGTTGCTGCTCCGAAGGAATCTCTTCACATCCCTTGGGCCCGCGAGCTCCGGCCTGGCAGCCAGCCACTCAAGTGTCGGCTTCCGAGGTTCATGTGGCCGGCCAAGAGGGGCGAAGGACAACTGCATCTGATGTGCATGCAGGCACTCAACCTGGGTCGTTTCGTGCGTTCGGCGAGCTGCAGGAGAAATGGGCATGCTGCGCAGAACCACGAACGAACAAAACGGTCGTCCGTGCGTCTGAGTTGAAATTGGCCGAGCCGGCATTTTCCAAAGCACTGGAGTTCTCGGCTCGGAGTTCTCTCCTCGCCTCCGTCTCTTCGATCTTCTTCTCTTCTACTTTCTTTGGTTCCTGTGTTGTTCGTGTGGTCAAACCAGAGGTGGCTTGAGGCAGCAGTGTGTTGGGAAGGGTACTGATACATCTATACATGGACTTGGAACCATGGTTTTTCATCAGCTGGCTGCTGCTGTCAGTTCAGGGGCACGTTCGTGGATCTGAGGCAAGAGTTTTCATTCACGGGTTCCATCCGAGGACAGCCATGGCACCTGTGGAATCTTCAAGGTCGTCTCCTTGCTCTCTTTGCTCTCCTTGCGATGGAAAGTTGGTTCCAACGCACATGTTGCTAGCGTTGCTTCGGGGAAGGACCCTTGCGTTTTTGAAAAATGCACTGCTGAGGCGGGAAAATGAACACGATGGGAAACGAAAAAGTTGTTCGATGCAAACATGCAGCTACAGTAATCTCAAGAAATACGTTACACTATGTTACACTCTGCTGTCCGACGCGTGTGCAAAAACAATCAAAACATCATGGAATATCTATAGAGCATTCCCCGTCATTCACTCCAGTCCATAACTATCCCGGCAAGAGACCCCAAACAGTGAAGTCTAGAGATCTAGACGCATTGGGGTCCAGAGAGGTGATGGTGGTGATGAGGGTGGGGATCGTGGTGATGGTGGCGGTGGTGAGAGTGTGGGTGTGGGTGTGGGTGTGAGTGAGAGTGAGAGTGAAAGTGAGAGTGAGAGTGAGAGAGTGAGAGTGACAGTGAGAGTGCGAGTGAGAGTGAGACTGAGAGTGAGAGTGAGGGTGAGGCTGAGGGTGAGGGTGAGTGAGAGTGAGAGTGAGAGTGGGAGTGAGAGTGCGAGAGTGAGAGGAAGTGTGAGTGTGTGAGAGTGGGAGAGTGAGTGAGTGAGTGTGAGTGTGAGTGCGGGTGTGAGTGAGAGTGGGAGTGAGTGTGGGTGAGAGTGAGTGTGGGTGAGAGTGAGAGTGAGAGTGAGAGTGAGAGGGAGTGCGAGTGAGAGTGGGCGAGTGAGTGAGTGAGTGTGAGTGCGAGTGTGGGTGAGAGTGAGGGTGAGAGCGAGGGTGCAAGCATGAGTGTGAATGTGAAGGTTCACAATGTGCTTCTTCTGCCACGAAATCTGCACTTCGAGGTTTACAAAGTGCTGCGCCCGCCACGAAATCTGCACTTCAAGGTTTACAAAACGCTGTACCTGTTACGAAACCTGCACATCGAAGTTCACAAAGTGCTGTGCCTGCCAGGAAATCTGCACATCGAGGTTCACCAAGTGCTGCACCTGCCACTTAATCTGCACTTCGAGGTTCCAAAAGTGCTGTGCCTGCCACGAAATGCGTGTTGAAGTTAACAAAAACTGCACCTGCCACGAAATCTGCACATCGAGATTCACAAAGTGCTGCGCCTGCCACGACATCTGCACTTCGAGGTTCACAAAGCGCCGCGCATGCCACGAAATCTGCACCTTCGAGGTTCACAATAAAGCGCTGTACCTGCTACGAGATCTGCACTTTGAGGTTCACAAAGTGCTGCACCTGCCACGAAATCTGCACTTCGAGGTTCACAAAGTGCCGCACCTGCTGCGAAATCTGCACTTCGAGGTTCACAATAAAGTGCTGCACCTGCTACGAAATCTGCACTTCGAGGTTCACAAAGTGCCGCACCTGCCACGAAATCTGCAAACGAGCCACATGTCGAAAAGTCACGATTCACTGCACCTGTCACGAAATCAGAGCGCCTCGAAGATCACCACCATGTCCAAAGTGCTGCACCTACCACGAAATCTGCACTTGGAAGTAGAACCGCTCGGATTTGTTGAACTTGTCACGAAAAGTCGACTTTGGACCACAAAAACACGAGGTTTCCCTTGCACCTGCCACGAAAAGTGACCAGTGCCCAACAACCCATCTTCCCCCGCTCCCGACACTGTTGCAGGTGTTCCGCACCCCCGCACCCATCCACATTCCCCATACCACCTTACACCCCCCACCGCCCGCAGCAGTCCCTCACACCTCCCTGAGGCATATCCTATCCCCAACCCCGACACCGGCACCACCCCCGCCGAAAACCCCTGCACTATCCCACGCGGCCTACCGAGCTCGCACCCGATTCCGTCATGCCTCCCAGAAGCACCCGCCGCGGACACCCAGATTCAGCGAGCCTGCGCAGTCGAAGTGCACATTGACGATTTCGAGAGGCATGAATGTACTGTAAATAGCAGCGAATTCGCCAGTCACGCCTGCGCGCCCCAGGGATCTCAGCACAGCTGCTTAACCACTACCGTAGGAGCAGGAACCCCTAAGTGTGTCCACAGTGTTTGGCGTCCTCGCTGCGTGCACCGAACGGGGCGAACTCTCCTGGCGCTTCTCGTTGAGCTTCGGCTCCTTCCCTCGAACCGGGGCGCCGATCGGTCGGGCGAGCGCTCGAGCGTGGACAATTGGAATGGGATGGATCCATGAGCGGGTGAGGGCTGCACGGATAGAGTTGCACCTTGAAAAAACAAGGAGCCATGAGTTTTGCCCGGGTGGCCCCATGGGAGGCAGAAAAGAAACGTGGAACGATCCAGCGGCCTTAAAAGGCTTGATCCGCAGGGAACGCAAGGGTTTGAGCTACTACATCCTCACACAAGTGTTGGATTTATTGTGACCAGTCAGGAGCTTTTGTCACTGTATTTATGTAGAATGACATCCGACAGCAGCACAGCCATGATAGCATCAAGCATCAAAGGAGAGTCAACGCTACGGTCGACACTCAGTCAGCACTACAGTCGGGCATGGCCACAAAACTGGGCGGGGCCATTGAAGAAAGGTTTCACAGCCTTCCCGACAGCTGATTCAACGGGCGGTTTGCTGGCCCTGCCTGCGTTTGGCGAGTGGTGACTGTAGTGTTGACTGGAAAGTGTGGGGTGAGGTGCCCATGTTTTGTGCCATAATTTGAGGGTCCCTGAAGGTTTGTATCCCTCCCGGCAGTTTGGTAGGCACAGTGAAGCAGGCTTCTTGAGCTAGAAGAGTTGGCTTTGACAGTGTGCAGCTGACAAATGCAAGAGGCTGTAAGCCGACTTCTCTGTTTTCTTCGGTTGCCGGAAGGAATCCTGCAGCAAATGCAAGATGTGGAAGCACCTTGGGCACAAGGAAATTGGAGGGCTCTTGTTCTTGCTATAGTCACGAGCTTCTCCTAGAAACCCAGGACATCCCAGCACTTTTCACGACATCATACTAACATGGACGCCCAAGTTCGGGGAAAAATTGCTGTGTCTTCCAGGTGAGTGGTGGAAGACCAGTGCACTCCGGTAGGTAGGAACTACCAGGCCAGCACATCCTCTAAACATCTCGGCATCCTCTTCTAAAAACAAAGGCCTCAGAAGTCCCTGTACCCTTTGTATTCCTCACGGGTTTTCTCAAACCTGTCCTTTCTACTTCAACTCAACCGTATTACGTCCGAGCGGCGCCGATCTTCACCGTGAGGGCTGGCATCCTGGGCCAGGCTCAGCTCGCTGTTACATCCAAACATGGGGAGAACGTGGGAGAACCACCCAGCCCTTCCGCGACGATCTTAACAAAATGCTTGACCGAGTTCTTCCTAAAGCAAACGGTTCTATTGAAGTCATGGCAGTTGAAAAGTGTTTTGGGGTGGGGCCAAAGATGACCTGCTGTTTTCGATAACGAAGTGTTGTTCACCGACCGTGGGACGTTTTGAAAGTCCAACTCATGCCTGGACCATCCCAGATAGGCGATGCTGTCACGCGTCTGATTCATGGTGGGTCCCCACTCTCTTGTCCAGCCACATTTGCAACATCAAATAGCCTTTCTGACCTAGAAGCTGGCAAGACAAAGATTTGCTGATCGAACGTACGCTGATCGAACGCTCCAGTATGTCCCTGCTATTCTGGGTCTCGGGGTAAATCCTAATACTGTAACTGCTAATAACTATATACTGTTTTTCTTGGCTTTCCCAACGTCTCCATCCTGATACACAAGTTTATTTCCACGGGTTTTGCTCTGAACAGTCCGCCTAACCGCCCGTCCTCCGCCACGGCCGTCAGGGCAGGTTGAGGCTGGGGCGCCTAGCTGGATGTCACCCTGCTGTTGGAGAAGGCTTCAATGAGATGGACCAAAGGCAGCCAAATGCTGGACCAAAGAAAT